ATCACGTGATCACAGGAAATCTGCAAAAAATCACACAACGCAGTCACATCCCTGAATCTGCACCACACATGGATATATTTCAACATTGTATTCCACAATAAATGTTTTTTACTCGATATGTTGCATGATGTTTTTGATGCATGGAATTGTATACCTGGATGTTGACCAAATTAAATCATATACATTAGTGACAATCCGCAACGTTTTTCTATTGCAAAACATTATACAAGATCTGAAAAAAATGCTCGGATGTAATAGCGTGTGGTAAATCCATGCACACAATGGGCAAATATATACGCAGTTTCATACAGTTTTTTGTATTCGTCCAAAATATCAGTTTCTTATTCAATCTGAATTGTATAGTTAACAAATTCTTTGTTCTTAATAACATATATTTGACACTTTTAATCTATATTATATGAAGTCATGTGCATATGTTTAAAGTATGCGGCTCTCATGCATCATCATTTGAGAACTTAATATTCAACTTAGACTCATGTTCTGGTATTTAATTATAGAACTTGCAACTTATTCTTACTACTTTCTTATTGAATGTTTATTCCATGATTGTACCAGTAGTATTCTGAGAATGCACAGCAAAAATGCTATATTCTCCCTCTCTTCACACCGGGGGTGTTTTGAGGGTGAATATTTGATCTGCTACAATTCGATGCGTTATGGGGAATTATACTTTAATGAAAACAAGACACACGCGAATGCTTTCACATTTATTTTACTGACTGTAATGTGAGCATTAGCCTATTTAGCTAAAAACAACACAGACATTTCTAAGAAAGTTATATTCCTGTTTTTCACAACAGAAAAGAGAGAACAATCTATAATATGCAATGCATAGTAGGTCTCTGGTGTCATTCATTTCGATACGTAACACTCTTCCCCATCTCATTCCTAAATTCATCTTTATAGTCCAGCAGATAAGACCCCAAAAAGCATGGAATTGTTCAAATTGTGATAGAAGCATGAAATTTGGTACAGGTGTTTATTTTGATATGGAGATTCATATTCCATTGAGACCCACCGCAGATCTGGCCTGTGAAGACTGATTTTTGGTGTAAAATATTACATTTTGGTAAAACATTATGATAATAACAAATATATTGTTTAGTAATGTTTAAATTGTAGTACACTCATGAAATTTAGTACATATATACATTTCATATAAAATTTGAACTATCATTGAGCTCACATTTAAAAGCTATCTTTTGGGGCAAAAACATCAAATTTTGCTTCAAAAATATGAAAATAACAATAAATGATTTACATATGTTTAAATCGTTTTAGAACCATACAATATAGTACAGGTATGCACTTATTTCATTGAGAGCAATAGCGGACCTTGTTTGTGATGACTGATTTTTGGTTTTAAAAAATAACATTTTAGTTAAAAAATACAAATACCAGATTTATAACTGCCTTTCGTAATATAGAAGCATGAAATTCGGTACATACATGAATTTCGATGTGGCAGTGCATATGACACTTAAA